CTGGGAGATGATGTTGACGCTTCATGGACCCTTCTCAGTTATCTTGACTTTGGTTCACTTGTAAACAAACCCAATTTAACCTTGTTTATGTTAGTCATTCTTATATCTAATGTAGCCACAACCCGCCTGATTCATGGACTTGGAAACGTTGACGTGACTGGCCATTTAAGTAAGAGAGAGAATCCATTACACTTAGATATGTTCACAATTCATTACCCTGTACTTGCACTCACTGATATCTACCGAGATAAGATGTAGGCGCTTCGACACTTATTGATAGCCGGGTAACATGTAACACCTCTTCCTCACATAGAGACTCAGCCCCCTTCACCCTCCCCCACCGTCCCCATGGTGGACTGCCAGGTAGCCTGTCAGTTTAGTACAGGGTCACAAGGTGCCAGGGTGTTGTGTGTACACCTCGACTAATTCGGTTGGTCCTGGGATCGAACGCGGGTCAGTAGAATGGTGAGCTAACCACTACCATCGAGGCGGTGATAGCCACATACACACATTGATTTACACACCTGGTGCTACAAGCAGCATGATGAATCTGTCTGGAGCAGCAAGATTTTCAAGACTAAAATACAACTTAACTTAACGTATAACCATAGTATACTCGCATGTGTATTTTGTTTCTCAGTTAGCCATTATGCATGTCAACGTTACTGCCAGAAAGTTTTTAGCTAAATACACTTTCGTCCAGAACAACAACTTGTCCTCAGATAGCCTGAGTGTTTTACCTGTCTTCTTCCCCTCAGCCAATTATTACAAAAATAAGATTATGAAATTACTAAACAAAGCTTCCTCACTAAAGTATTCCTGGGAGGTATTTGGACCGTGTGTTAATGTTTATGACTCGTCTTCTCCCCCTCAAGCAATCATGACGAAAATAAAACTTGGGGAATTACTAGACACTTGTATCCACTTAAGTGTACCCTCACCAAGTACTTGGATCATGCTGTGTCCACTGAAAGATAATGAGTAGTTTTTTTCTTCAAAATTAGTTGAGTTTTAAATACTTAGAACTTGTGTTGATAGACAAAGACTTATTATTTAGGTATTCAGTCTTGGTGAAGGGTGTCGCTTTCCACCATCCCGGGTATTAGGCTGAGTGTGGCACCATCGTCACCTTTAAGAATGACTGTTGTACTGCTAGTCAATCCTTCGTTTAAATTGACCTGCAATGTGAACTGAGAATAAACAAAATAACCTTACAAGTTTTAAATCCTCTGATCCCATGGTCACATGACACCGTAAAGAGATGGTCCTGATGGCGCCTCTGAGTGCATTACATTCATTAGTCTGATTTTAAGTTTATTCTGTTTTTCCAAATGAGACTCGACAGTCTGTAGTAAAACGTCATCAGGTCAACAGAGTATGTAAGAAGCCACGATATAGGCTTTGATCTCCTTATACTGTCTGCTGTGTTGTTTAATTTTCCTAAAGGTTCCCCTCAATATCGAAATCATCCATTTAATACTTTCTTGGCCCTGTGCAGATCACTATTAACCTCACCTCTTCAATACGATGACTTAAACCCTGATGACGATAACTTAACCCCATGAGGAGGATGACTTAACCCCCTGAGGACAATTACTTAACCCCCTGAGGACGATGACTTAACCCCCTGAGGACAGTGACTTAACCCCATGAGGACAATGACTTAACCTCAAGAACGATGACTTAACCCCTGAGGAAGATGACTTGACCTCATGAGAACGATGACTTAATCCCATGAGGACTTAACCCCATGAGAACGATGACTTAACTCCCTGAAGATGATGACTTAACCCCCTAAGGAAGATGGCTTAGCCCCCTGAGGACATTGAATTTACCCCACGAGGACGATGACTTAACCCCATGAGAACGATGACTTAGCTCAAGAGGTTAAAAAAATCTTACTCTGTATGGTAATTCAACGTACCCAAGGAGTTGAAGATAGGGGCTTAGATATTTTACTCATTAGGCTATAATTAATCGTACTCAATGGACTAGCACGTACTCATTAGCGTTAAGACACCTTTACTCACCAGGTTAACTCCTCGTACTCAAATTTCTGACATTGTTTCAGTAAAGTTAAACACATCGTACTCAAGAGATAAAAAAAAAAACATCGTACACATTCGACTGATTAATCGTATATTCAAGGAGGTTCAATATATATATATATATATATATATATCTCTCTCTCTCTCTCTCTCTCTCTCTCTCTCTCTCTCTCTCTACGTAAATATCATCATTATGGCCAATAAAAATACCACCATTCTCAGCTTCCTGTCTCGAATGTTTCTGGTCTGTGGTTAAAAAAATGGTAAGCCAAGAAACTCATTAAGGGATGGTGACGAGGCTGGAGAAAGTTGATCTCATTAAGGAGTTGACAAGAGCAGAGAGATGGCCAACTGGGTGTTTATTTTTTAGCTGTCAACAACGAATGTAATAAATATCTCTCAAAGTTGTTGTTGTTGTTTTTTCTTGGTGGTTTGATTAATTTCTTCTTCTTCTTCTTCTTTCTTCTTTCTTCTTTCTTCTTTCTTCTTCTTCTTCTTCTTCTTCTTCTTCTTCTTCTTCCTCCTTCTCCATTCTTCCTTTTTCTTCCAACAACGGGTTTCATAATATTTTCTTTTTATTTCAAGACCTGTTAACGGGTGAGACATTGTCCTTATCGAAGTCCTCCAACGGTTGGAATATTTTTTTTCAGTGTGCCAACGGGTGAACGAGTTTCTTTATGCAGTCTGTTAACAGGTGGGGAAAATGAGTCATGTAACGAGTCAACTTTTTCTTTTCCTCCCTTTTTGTGAATTTGTGGAAAAAATAATTATTTCAATATTTTCTATAAGTGGGAAGTCGTATCATTTTTAACGGGTTAGTCAGTCATCTTCAATGGGTTAAAATCCCCATCCTCAGAGGAATTAAACCACGTCTTCAGAGGGTTTAAGTTCTTATCATCAAGGGGTTAAACCAACGTCTTCAAAATTTAAACTATCATCCGCAAGTGTATACCTGGCCCCTGTATACCTGGCCCCTGTATACCTGGCCCCTGTATACCTGGCCCCTGTATACCTGGCCCCTGTATACCTGGCCCCTGTATACCGCATACAGTATCCCCTGTACTGCCTTACCCGGAAGTAAACAGTCTACTTCACACCTTACTGTATACCTTCCTCGTATCCGTTCTTGTATTTTATATCTTAATAAAAAATCAGATTCTGATTCTATTTGACGCTTGGCTTTTGTTATTATTAACGTCATCAAATATTCAGCCTTTTGTGTGTGTGTGTGTGTGTGTGTGTGTGTGTGTGTGTGTGTGTCCACTTTGTAAAGTAATTCACCTGATACTTTTGACATCATGCAGTACATTGTGGGGTTGTGTAGTGATTGTTTCTTTTTTCATGTTGTTATTCTGACATAATCTAAAACAGCTGCTGAAAACTAATTACAAACAGGTGCACGTAACCCATAGGTACGTACCAGGTGTTGCCAAGTGTTGAGGGAATTTTGGCTGCATCTATACACTACTGTGACAAATTTATGAAGTCTTCATAAAGTTTTAAATTTACTTGATATATCTAATGTTTGTTTATTATTATTATTATTATTATTTATTATTTTTTATTTAGTCTTTTTTGGGGCAATAACCGAGCAATTTTTTTTCAGTCATTTTGAACTTTGAGATTTATAGAAAATTTCGTCCAATATATGTCGAAACTGATATGTAATCCCGTTTAAGCAAAAATTTTACTGTACGATCTTCCGTCTGACGTCACATCTAAATACTGAAATCAAATACAATACTAGAAAATATTTATAATAAGGAATGTTTATGACCAGGAATACAATATTTCCGTAAATTGAAATTCATTGTTTGTCATTCATTTGCATACGGGAGCATTATACATGTACTGTAGGCATACATATTGTTATGTTGTTATTACTGTTGATGTTAATACTATTGTTATTGTTACTACAGATATTATTATTATTATTATTATTATTATTATTATTATTATTATTATTTTTATTTTTATTATTATTATTATCATTATTATTATTATTATTATTATTATTACTGGACTTACAGGTAAATAGTGTAAATGTATGAGCAAATGATCATTCATTGGTGTATGTATTAATTAACATGCACTGTGTGAGTCTCTGTGCTATCCATGCATAAGGTGTCAGTGAAGATGGACTTGTGAAGGTGGATAAGTTACATATACTTTAGTTGTGTTTTGTTATTTGCATTAATAATATGTGTACTGTATGCAGATGCAGAATTTATGTATCGTGTACAATTATGAACCAAAACAATACAATACATGACAATGATATACACTGTACAATATATTCAGTTCATGTTAATACACAGAAATTGTCGCGTGTACACACACACACACACACACACACACACATGCATAAGTATAAACAAGACACCGCTGATGTTCATCCTTAAAGTCATACAATTACACTCCTCTGGACAAGCATCTACTATTACACGTACATTTATAGTTATATACAAGCACTAGTACGGCCCATACTCATACACCTAGACATGTCCATATATCATATACTCACACATATCCCCAATCAAGTATATCCATTCATTTCTACCAATACGTACAGTACAGTCATGTATGTCACCATCAAGCTCTCTCAACTATTCTTATGGAGATACACGCACGGAAGTCAGTGCCGTACGCCCATATATTTAGGCTGTCACGAACATGCGTGTACACAGTGACATGCATACACAGATATATCTAACACACACACGCACGCGCTCATACACGTCCAGTGTGACAGCTGAAAGACATAACGTTATAAGTAAGTCGTGTTGATGTGTATATTCATACATGACGACAGGCCAGCGCCAGGACACGAGAAGCACGGTCACTATACACAGGTGAGTCTTATGACCTCCTGACCTTCCAACAGTTTCCCTCAGGTGAGACTCAAACAAGCAGATGTGTTGATTGTCCGTGAGTGCACTTGAAATCACTTACCATGGCGAGAGAGGAGGTGGTGGCTGCCCTCCTCGTCGTCTTCGTCACCATCCTCGTCGTCATGGTGATTGTCGTGAAGGCGTGGGTGGTCGTGATGGTGGTTTTGTCCTGCAGCTTCCTGTGCCTTCTGTCGGAGGATGTCCCCAATCATGAAGGAGGACGGAGCCCTGGCTAGTTGCTGCAGACCCAGGGGCAGGACCGTCATGAGTGGTGTGGAGGGCTGCTGCAGGGCCCCAATCTTGACTGCAGGTTGGGGCGTCCTCTCAGGTTCCCGTGATACCCTCAGGTCCGTGGGTTGGTCCTGGGGCGCTGGCGAGGGGGCGGGGGACGCGCCCCCTCGTCCTTCCATGTTGGTCATGGGCACTGCGGCGACCAGCGACCCGCGACACTCCCTCACTGCCACACCAGTGCCCACGCGCCCTTAACCTCTTCCACGCCTTCCCCTTGTCCCTCTGCTCTTACACTGAGCAACACACAAAGTTTCACATCGAAATCTCTCCAGTTCACTAATCATCAGGTCCAGCAGACAACACAGAATGCATCATTTTTTTTTTCGCCACAGACAAACTTCTTGTGTTTTTCTCCAGCAAGAAACCACCACCACCACCACCACCACCACGTGTCAAGAGTTGTGATACTGTGAGCCCCTCAGCGCCTTGCTTCTTCACCAGCTCCCTGGGATCGTCTTGCGCCGCGCTGAAGGTGCAAACTGGCAGCAAGTTGGGGTAATAATAAAATAATAATGACAAACGGCTCACTACCAAGTGTAATTCACATGTATCATTGATGGCGTGAGCGGGTGGTGGCGGCGAGGAACTGAGGACGGACGCGCGAGACAGGGCGCACTGGCGGCGGCTGGGGACACCGTCGCTCCTACCAGCCCCCGCCTCTCTCCTCCCCTCCTCCTCCTCCACCTCCACCTCCTCCTCCTCACTCGCTCGCTCGCTCCTCCTTCCCTCTTCCCATTCTTGTTCCTCTTCTTCCTACTTGATACTAGCTCTTAACTTTTGTATCTTTTGTTTAGTCTTCGGTTTTTTGTACAAACTTCTCAGACTTCCTCCTCCTCCTCCTCCTCCTCCTCCTCCTATTCCTACTTTTCTTGATCCACATTCCTTGTTCCCAACTCTATAATTGCATATGATCTTTTGTCCACGAGTATCTTATTATCTTAGCTCTTCATCCCTCTTCATCACTCTCACTTGTTCCTCCTATTCTTCTTCTGCTTTCATCATCTCCTTCCTTACTCCTTTGTCTCTCCTCTCATGTACTTCCTCATTTTCATTATCAACGCCTTCCCTCCCTCTCCTCAACCCCTTACTATCATTATCAACGTCTTCCCTCCCTCTCTTCATTCCCCACTCACTATCTTTATCAACATCTTCCTATCCTCTCCTCACCCCCCTCATTATTATTACCAACGTATTCCCTCCCTCTCCTCAACCCCCCCACTTCATTATCTTCCCCTCTCAATATCTTTATCAACATCTTCCTTCCCTCTCCTCATTTACTCTCCCTCACCTGCCTCACTCGCTCCCACAACTCACCTCATCGTGGGCACTAAGGGGAATATATTAGTCATAAGAGTCACAAGTGTTGGCCCCTCATGGATCAATATAGTTTGACCTTCTACCTGTATAACCTGTTCTTTCTCCTCTTGTCTTCAAGTTTACGTCATAATACTGGTTATTCTTGTTTCTCTTTTTCTCTGGTCTCTTCTTTTATTTCTTTATTGTTTTTTACCTATCTATCTATCTGTCTGTCTGTCTGTCTCTCTGTTCTATCTATCTGTCTGTCTGTCTGTCTGTCTGTCTGTCTGTTTGTCTGTCTGTCTGTCTTGTAGTCATCGTTATTTTGTTCTGATGTTATTAGCTTTATGTCATGTTATTGTTTGTTATTGTTCTCTCTCTGTATCTCTCTTGTTTTATCTCTCTTCTTATTTTCTCTTGACTGTTTTCTCTCTCTTCCTATTTCTTTATTTCATATATATACAGTTATTCGATTTCTTCTTTAGTTCCTTTATTTTGTTAATTTTCTCTTCGTTTTGTGTTTTATTCTTTATCTGGTATTTATTCTTTCTGTGTGTTGTTTCACTTGTTCTTCCTGTTATCTATACATCTGTTCTATCTATTGTTATTCTGTTCAAGTAGTCTTCGAAATCTACCTGGAGTCTTTAGGTTTCGTGAGGTGACTTGAGAGGCTTTCTTGATGTTGACGTTATAATGTTGTAACTACACTTTAACAGCTAAGGTCTTCAACAACGCAATAATATTAGTAATTACACTCGTCTCTCAATAATTAAAATTCATAAGAGATATAACTTTCCCCCGAAACGATCCTCTTTTGTCCGTGTGAGTCCTCTTCAGTAATCTTTTCGCCTCTATAGCCTGTGTCCTTATACTCTATACACGAGGTGAGAAGGGAGTTATTGTAAGAGTATGAAGACAAATGAAATAAGAATCTATATTAAAGAAAGGATCGGAATATTTAGTTGGTTGAAATTATCTCCAGTCTACGTCTTACTCTTGTGAAGTTTCCTTATGTTTCCTTGATCTATCCAGTTATTTATTATAATCTTGGTACAGTTTTAGTTTCAGGAATTAATACTATGTTTCAGATGTAACAGTACAGTTCAGGTTCAATCATCGTGGTTAAAGAAACAAGTGGGAATAGAGTTTATCTTCAGGAGCTAGTTTGTTCTTCGATGTCCAAGAATTATAGAAGGTTTCAGAGGTGTTGTGGTGTGTTCTGTGAAGCCTTATGGTATTCTGTGGTTATATCGGTTATTTACCCTTTTATCCTTTGTTACTTCCTTCCTGCTCTCCTTCTCTACTTTTTTCCCTTTCTCGTTGTCTCCTTTCCTTCTCTTCTTATATCTTTCTGTCCTTCTCTACTTCTCTTCTGATCTCTCTCTCTCTACTTCTCTCCTTTATACTATAACTTACTTCCTGTTAATGTGTGTGTGTGTGTGTGTGTGTGTGTGTGTTTGCAGATGTGTACATTATGTGAAAGTTCCTTGCTGGTGTGTGTGTGTGCTTTGTGTGTTCGTGTGTGTACGTACGGGCGGGTGGGCATGTGTATGTGTGTGTCTAGTAGTGTCAAAGGCCGGAAACCTGAGACGTGAAAATCAAGAGCTTAGCGTCGCGGGCAGGTGGAAGCCTCGGGACCCTCTGTTGAAAAATTCGATCCAAAAGTCTGTCCACTCATTTGTGTATGTCTCCACTACATGTTGTCCTTCGTGTTGTTGATGACGGAGAGGATCACCTGGGCTGTTAGGTTAGGTTAGATTTGGCCGGGTTAGGTTAAGTTTAAGGTGGTTAAACTTAAGGTGACCTAATCTTCATCTAATACAACAAGTACACTTCCTCCTTCACTGAGTTGTTCCAATATATTACTAATAACTCGAGATTGGGAGGCGTTCCCAAGGATGTTTCTGTAAATGACCTAAATCATATTGTATCGGACCAAAACTGTTTATACCGGACCTAAATTGTTTTGTACCGGACCTAAAACTGTTTATACCGGACCTAAAATTGTTGTGTATCGGACCTAAATTGTTTTATACCTGACCTATAACAGTATGTTTCGTATCGTAGAACATGAATACCTAATGCCAATTTTGTCTACTGTGGCAGGACCTCACAAAACTCTCCCATAGCCCCTGATCCTGTGTATACTCTGGTCAGTAAGATATAGAACGAAAACCGTTTTTGTAAGGCCTGAATTTAACCACTATAGCTTTTGACCATTGAGAGACTAAACGACCTTGTATAGGAGATGAATTAACTACCACTTCCTATACCACTTATTCTTGGGGGCTCTGAAATTCCAGTTTCTGACCTCTTAAGAGGCTAAATCTTTCTTGTAGTGTCTGAAGCTTCTACCACTGAGCTATTTATTGTCTTAGGTCATTATTAGAAGACTCAAACTGTCTATTGGTGTTCTTAAATCACTAGTTCTTGACCACTGACGAGATAAACCTTGATTTTATAAAGGGGTACAACTTATTCCACCCGTCTTGTCTGGCCCCGTTGATGACTGTCATCATCATCATCATCATCATCATCATCATCATCATCATCATCATCGCGAAAAGAATCCCTTCATTTTTTTCCCACAATTAGTCAAAGGGAAAAAATTATGCCGAGTATTGTCACCGCTGAGAAACGCCGTGGAGGAGAAGAACTTTGTCAACCCGGAATTATTGGGAAACTTTGTAAGCAAAATTGATCGCCCGCTATTAATACTTGTGGTCAAATCTCGTCACCTTTCTAGCCTACTGTAATCTTTGTTTTTCTTTGTTTCCTTCTTTTCTTTCTTTTTCTCCACCTCTTCTTGTTTAATAGATCTCTCTCTCTCTCTCTCTCTCTCTCTCTCTCTCTCTCTATTCAAATTTCACTGTTCACAAACCACAGAATCCTCATTAGGCTCTTATAGGTGTTCCCGTAAATGCATTACAGCACCAATCTACATTACATAGTTACAGTCGTTCTCGTGTTAACATTACAGTTACAGTCTCACCATTACTGTAACATGCAACTGTGACCATATTTTGTACTGTATTCTGTAATTACAAAATATTCTTGTAACGTGAAATATTCGATGTGTGTGTGTGTGTGTGTGTGTAATAACGAACCCAAACATAAAGAACTTTCGAATACCATTATAATATACAGTATAATTATCGCACTAAAATGGCTATACAGTATGGCATCGTCTCGTGTTATCAGTAATAAACTCTACTTCAATAAATACCTTCGTAAATACGTACATACGACCTTGAAATTAGAGTTAAATCTCAGTACTATATTGTCACTTGAAAAACTATTTACATATCTGTATTTAATGTTATAAGTCGTGTACCTTCACTCTTTATACTGTTAAATTTGTAAAGTATATTTCCATTTGCTTTTATAGTTAGATATAATAGATTTTACCAATGGTTAGTTACTTGTGTATATTTACCGTATAGTGAGTCTTCATTTTTTTTTTATTAAAATTTAATGCACAACATAAATTTTCAACCTCTTGCATGAAATATATTTAGCCTGCATTCCCATTTATAGTTAGAGGTGATATATTTTACTGAAAGGAAATCTATTTGCATAAATTCATTGTGTGCAGAGTCTTTATTTTCCATTCGTAATACTGTTTAGAAATGCATAAAGTCGGCCTCCGTTCTATAGAGAGTAGTAGCATATATCAACAAGCGGAAAGTGGTTTGCGTATCTTCACCGTGGGAGAATAAAGTGTCGCAGGGCCGCTCTGTTTATTTCAAAGTTGCCGCCACCCGCTGCTCTTCCTTCCGGGAGAGCGGCGGACTGCGGCGTCCTCAGTTCCATTCCGTATCCACAGGGATTATTCCAGATTATGCGGTGTTGACAATGGCAGTGATTACGTCTTTCAATTGTCTTACGCCCCGCCTCCTGGGTGGGGCTTGGCAGTCTGCCCGCCCTCCCTCACTGCTCATTGGCCAGTATGAGCACTACGTCACCACTTGAGCCCCTGACTTCCCATTGGCTAAGGTGAAGTATGTTCTTTGTACATTACCACTCGATTGGTCCGGGTATTTGGCTACGTCACCAGATTGTTTTCCGTGCATTTAGCGACCAAGAGGGATGAGAGCGTGACGTCACTAAGTAGGTCCCACACTAGAAGGGAGGTGGGGAGAGGGGAGGAGGTTAAGGGAGGGAAGGCGCGGTCCATTGTGGTGAGGAGGGTGATGGCAGGGTGTTTGTCCTCACTCTCTGGACACTTGGTCTCTCATTATATACCTAACACTTGGCTGCCCCCTTCCCCATTAACTCATCTCCCTTAGCGTCTCCCTCCCTCCCC